CCCTCCCAATACATCATGGCAAGAATGACAGGGCAATGGAACTCAAACTTTAGCAGGGTAGGAGCCACCTTCAGCTTGGTTTTAGAATGGGTTGCCCTCAAATGTGGTGGATACAGTAGATTTAACAGAAATTTTATAAATATTTAAATGATCAGGACTGAAAGTGTAATGCCTCTTGTTGCCTTCAAATTTTATTTTACTTATTTTTTTTTTTTTGGGGGGGGGGGGGGCGGTTACACACACACACACACACACACACACCTGAATCTCAACATTTTTATTAGATATATTATGGTTATAATAAAATAAATACATAGGTCATCCTATGTAAATATAGTTTTGTATTCATTTCCTAGATACAGAACGTGTTTTGAGGATATTATTCATTTCTGTGGTTTATTATTTATCACCAAAAAAAGATTAGTTTTCATAAAATTTAAGCTGCAATTTTAGTCGCTTTATAACGACACTGACAGGTCAGTTTGAGTAAAGTTTCAATTAATGTATCGGCAATTCTATTTCTAAGCTTAATATTAAAAGTAAAACTACCGGTTTTAAACTTTATAAAACGTGATGCAAGGTATCTTGACTGCAGCGGACAACTAATTAAATGATGAATACGAAGTTTGATTAAATAAGGGCCTAATTATGAGTTTAATATAATTAAATTTGTTAAGTCTTTACTGGTGCTATTATTAGTGTTAAAATATTACAATTTAAAGTTTTACTTTTTAAAGAGTGACGTACACTATAATAATTTTAATGTATTAAATAGTATTACTATTAATACTACTGCGCCTTTCAATTCAAGTTTCACTCTTCCGAAAAATCTAATATCTAGCAAACAACCTAGATCTGTACATTTATATGACAATCGCAGCTTACTTTAGAAATAAGTTTAAACATACTCACCTTCGAATTCCACTTTAAAAAACCTTTATTGCATCAGAACACCCTTTCCACCCGAAAAATGTCATACACTCTGACTCAGCCACACTAGTACCATGGTTTTGTGATTGTGGTAAGCTAATTTATGTCAATTTAGAGTTAGTTAACAGCCTATCCAGCAGAGGGAAATAATATGCAACAAAATATATTTCGTTCTTAATGACAAAAAACAACAACAACAACAAAAACAAAAAAACAACAACACATAATATCAATAAAATAGATATTAATCTTCGAACTCTTCAAAACGTTTTGTAATAAAGAATAATCCAACTGAATGAATCCTGAAAATAATATTGGGTGTTTGGATGCCACTAGGAGGCAATGCCAGTAATTTTAACTGGATTACTTTTCACCAGTAGGGCGATAATGTGATGTTTTTAATAATAAAAACTCATAAATGTCGATAGAATATTATTACATTTCATAGATGTAATAAAAATATATATTAATTATGTTTGTTAAGTATATTCATGAAACTTACTCCGACCGTTTGTGTGTGTGTGTGTGTGTGAAAATTAAATAATAGGTTGAACAATCGCCAAGTATATATATATATATATATATTGTTATGACAGCGGAGGAAAATGAATACCCTTGTGTTTCCTCTATACGCCAACGCAGTGAAGAAACAGGACATCAACCTATACT